TTACTCCATTTTTCACGCATATTCTCTAGGCTAATATATAGCATTAATTGCATTTGGTGTGTCGTGATTTGGCAAGAGAAATAATGTTGTTAGTTGTAGTTACTGATTCGATTAATGATTGAATTGTAGATACTGAATGAAGCAAAGAATAAGGTTTGTGAGTCAGTCAACCTTTGAAATGTCTTGCAGGTGGTTTGATGTTTCGAGTACTGTTCTGTCCCATTTAAATATAGTTTACAACGGGTATATTGCACCAGTATTAGATATTGATATCGGATATATCAATTTTCTTGTGTTGTGAATCAGTCAACCTTCGAAATGTCTTGCAGTTGGTTTGATGTTTCGAGTACTGTTCCGTCCCATTTAGAAATAGTTTACAGCGGGTATATTGCACCAGTATTATCAGATATTGATATCGGATATATCGATTTTCTTGTGTTGTGAATCAGTCAACCTTCGAAATGTCTTGCAGGTGGTTTGATGTTTCGAGTACGGTTTTGTCCAATGTAGAAATAGTTTACAACTGGTATATTGCACCAGTATTATCAGCTATTGATATCGGATATATAGATTTTCTTGTGTTGTGAATCAGTCAACCTTTGAAATGTGTTGTCGGTGGTTTGATGTTTCGATTACTGTTCTGTCCCATTTAAATATAACTTACAACTGGTATATTGCACCAGTAATATCAGTATATTGCACCAGTATTATCAGAATGTCAGTATATCAGATATGACTTTCTTGTGTTAAAAAATAAAGCACTGTAAGAAATGGCGCAATTTTTTTTCAAAACAGATTTATTTTTAAATCGTTTGCAACTGGAATTTTATAAGCCTAGTTAGGGGACTTATTGGTGTTCCTTGCATTGTTTGTATACAATCAATTATGGAATTTTAAAGTAAAATATATCAAGATACAATGATGGATATATTATAGTATATTTTTACAAGACGCAATATGCAACACTTCATCGTACAGTTTTAAAACTTCTAATCTAATTTACTCATTTTATTCAGCAAATAAAGTACATTAGTTTCCATTTTTATACCTACATTCTATTATATTCTAGAATTTAGAAGATAGCTTGCGAAGAATTCCCAAAAATCAATAGTCGACGTATCAGTGGTAAACGAGGAGGAACAAAGATCATTCAAGAAAAGATCGAAAATTTCTATAAAAGAGAAGTTTTGCACTTTTTTTTTTCTTTTTTTTTTACTGAACACTCGATTTATTTTTTGTGCAAAAGTTTGGCCCAATTTCACACCAACAAAGCTTTACTAAAGAAGTTCAGTGTAAAAAAAATAGTGAAATGGACTTTAAAAAATCCCATATTTCTTTTAGAACTCTTCTTTTTTTTCTAATAAATAACCTTCATGGGTGATCTTTTTTATTCTATAATAATATGAATTGACTTCCATGTGATACACCAAAAGGTTATGACAGTGGAAAAGTTTTTCAGAACTTATTTTTTCTATATTACAATTGAAAATATGACAGTCAATCAATATTAAGTATAAAAATGTTTCGAACTTCGAACTTTACACTTAAAAAGTACATCCCAACTTTTGTACAAAAAATTACCAACAGAAGGAAATTCTTCTTTATTTTGAAGCACGTAATTCCTATAAATATCAAATTTTTTTAAATGTAGCATTACTTGATATTTCATTAAAAATTAACGCTTAAAATCAGAAATGGTAAAATTTTTAGTAAAACCTACATATACACGTTTCGGTGTTTTACTGGTACTTTTATCAATTAGGGATAGCAAAACAGAATGGAATTAACCTGGAAAAGCTTACGATAGTAGATATACAGTTAAAGGTAAAACAATAAGTCGACAGTAAGTGTTAGAAAATAATAAATATAATTTTCAAATATTTGAAAGATATGGTATAGTATAGTAGCAAGTTTATTAACAATGGTTTTTTTACGATCTGGTAACTCTTTCAAAAATCTAAGTCAACGCATTCATTTCTGAATAATATGAGGAAAAATCGAACCTATGGCCTTCTGCCCTGCTGTATTTTGCAACAGTTGAGAGGTGCTGTTCGTAATTTTTGTCGTAGCCTTTACAGTCCCCGGCCAAATTATTAGAAGTACTATAAGATTCTATGTAAAATATTTACTATCAGGTGATACTATACAGCTTTATCGTTTTTATGCAGCTAAAACCGGTTTGCACTTGTTTACGTTTATGTATCAATTGATTAACATCGTAATGCAATTCGTTAAAAATATATACAGAGTAGGGGAGAGTGGGGTCAATTGTAACAGGGTATGATTGTAACAGAGCAAAAATTTCGAGTGTCGGGTTCTAGATTTGGTTCATAGGTGGCGCACAAGGTGTATTTAATAAATCTACATGTACACCCCTGATGGCAACCATTTTTATGTACTTTTGAAAGAGTTACATCACAAAAGATATTTTCACGCCACGCAAGTACTTTTTTTTGGTATTAGAATATTATATTGCAACAAAGTAATTTTGTTTAAACAAATAAAAATTAGTAACCGAATATGTAAGTGGACACTTTAATTAACATTTCAATAAAAAAAAGATTAGTTTTGCTAATTAACTAGCATTGTTTTTAACAAATGAAGCTGAAATGGCGTCTTGGGGACAATTGTAACAATAAGTAAAGGGACGATTGTAACAGCTGAAAATAAATAATCTTATGTTTACAAACCATTACTTAACTCTTTAAGAACCACCAATAGTTTCCTATATCATTTATATTATGTTGCATGTGCATTATTTTATTTGTCACCTTTCACAGCATAAATTAAAATTTTTAACCCCTTAAAGTTAAAAGTTTAACCCTTTAGGTCTCTGCTCATTATTATTTTTACTCCTAAAATATCACTACTATTTTGATCAATAAAAAAATATATCACAACTATGATAATATGTATAATTAACTATGTTTTAGTTGAATTTATGAACTGTTACAATTGACCCCGTAAGTGGGGACAATTGTAACAAGTGCACGACTGTCAAAAATTGTTAATAACTAATATAATAACATTTAAAATAAGGTTTTTTTTTTTTCTAGTAGAGGATAGTCTACTTTACTCGTCTGTCGTACTTTCCTGATAACCACATGGATTTTTTGTTAGTTAAAAATAGTTAAGTAAAAAATGTTACAATTGACCCCACTCTCCCCTACATAAAAAATCTCCCGAATAAAAACCTATTACATGTATCTTTAAATGTAAAAGTATCGCTTATAAACTCGTGCAAAACATGCAATTATTAAAACGCTACAGTGTGTCTAATAATTGGACCAAGTTATTATAATATACTAATATATACCTGATGTAATAAATATTCTACATTTATATAATATATCGTCTAATTTATCCGATCATCGAATTTTACATTATATATAGTCTAATTTAACCAATTGATACACGAACGTAAACTAGTGCAAACCGGTTTGTGTCACATAAAAACAATAAAGCTGTATAGTATCACCTGATAAAGTAAGATTTTATATAGAATCTTATAGTGTGTATAATAATTTGGCATGGGACTGCAGATAGCAAGATAAGCAGAAAATGTCCGTAAATGGCCATCACCACCATCAAACTCTTAAAAATGCATTCATGAAAATTTTATACGTATAAATTTATAAGTTATTTCTGGTTTGTGTATATGGTGAGAAACTATTAATCCTACAATTATTAATCTCAAACTAAATTATTAAACTCAGGATTAGCAGAAATCGTCATCATATTTCGTGCTCTCTTTTTTGCTCAATGAAAGAGAATATGCTGATTTAATTCGCAGTTTGTGATATTTTCTTTGAGGAAGAAGAATTAAAAATTAAAATTCAGACTCACCGTTTTACCCGTAAAAGTTCACCCATAAAAAAAAAAAATCCAACTTATCTTTTTATGCTCCTGTGAGAAAAATCGAAAATCCGACTTTAATCCTTACGTTGGCCTGTAATATTTGGATATCATGCAATTATCACAATAACAACTTCAAACATAGATACTGCATTTTAAATGACGAAAAATACTTAAGCTTCATACTGTTTAAAAAATAAAAGTTGCTTGAAAAATCAAAAAGTAGTTTGAAATGTTTTTCAAATAATTGGTCTTACTGATTAAAAAAATAGATTTGTTGAAAAAGGAATATTTTTACTGCACATTTCTTCCAGATCATTACATTTAATAATTGACGCCCGGTTGCTTAAATGGTAGCGCTTCACGCTCCCGTGCCGCAGGTCTGGGGTTCTATCCTTGGACCAGGCATGATTAACTCAGCCTTTCATTCATTCAGTGGGTCGATAAAAAGGCACCAAGCATGCTTGGAAACTAAACACTGGGGATTCCACGTTCAGCGGACCACCCACTCCTCCTGCACTCTAGAGTTCAAGGTCAAGGAAAATTGGATGGGCACAGTAGGCCGATGGACTGACAAGCTATTGAGTTTAGCTTTTTTTTAAATTTTTATAATTAATAATTAATCTCTAATTTTTTTTTCAATTTTTTGATTTAGTAAGGAAGGTTGTATAGGTGAAATTTAGTATTTTTGTAGAAAAGGTTTTTTTTTTTAGAAAAACAAAAATCGGAATGCCTGTACGATTAAAAAACTTTATTCTTTAAAATATTTAACTTAGTTATTTTTTTTATGGTCATTTGTTTCAAAATAGTAAAAATTAGAATGTGGTTAAGAATTCAAAACATTTTTAGAATATGAAAAAAAATAATACATAAAGAAATGAACAGAAAAATATATAGTATGAAAGGATTTTTTATTTTTTTTTCCGATCTGAATATCCAAAGAGTTGAAAGAAAATTACATGGGATTGAAAAAAAAAAGGTGTATTTGAAAAGAGAGCGAGCCAACTGATTTTGAAACCTAACTCAAAAGTCTCGTATATAAAAAAAAAAATATATATTTTTTCCTACCATCTTCAGAATTTATTTTCCAACTAGTGAAAGTGCAATGCTTTAAAAATAAAAGTATTTTTCTCTTCAATTTTTAGGGACGATACAGCACTTGAAGCACTTTTTTCCAAGCTCTCTTGTCCGAGTGCTTTGGTAAGTATTTTGAAAGTGAGGTTTTTGGGAAGCAAAAATAAAGTTATAAGAAATAATACTCATGCTTTACCACATTTTCCCCATCGTTAAACATTGGAGTAAGTCTTCATGGTTTTAATTTTTTTAGAATATATAACAGAAAAGTTGAGTTTTTATATAAAAAAATATTATAGGTTTTTAATTTGACTCGTCTAAGTGTTATTTTTTTCAACATTTTCATTGCAGCTTTTGACATCAATTGCGTGTTTGAACAAGTTTTGATATTTCATTGTGGGAATAAATGAAAAAAAATAATACATGTGAGTTTTATTTTTTTTTATAACCGTTGTTGAACAGCCGACCCAATTTTATAGGCTTACGACTACAAATGTTCAACTCCGTAGACTTATAATTTTGAACTCAATCCAGAAGACAAGGGAACTCCTGGATCGAGTATCGGGAGAAATTTACCTTGGTGGAAGACTTTTTTGATGGAACTAACCCGCATTTGCGTTACATGGAGAGGAAGGCCACGTGAACCTCCCACGGTTAGCCTGATGGCAAGGGGACTCTAACTCATGATACGTCTACTACTGAAATTATTTCAAGTCAGTACTGTGGTCGGTGCAAGCCGGATGCGGAATTCGTATCGACCAGCCATCGCCGGGATCGAACCCCGCTTCACCACATTGGAAGGCGAACGCTCTATCCTCTGAGCCATCACGGCTCATGTGAGTTTTATTAACTAGTAAAATTTAATAGTTAAATATGAATTGCATAAATATTAGCACACTGCTTATTCTAGTACGAGGTGATCAGTAAAAACCGCCCCAAATATGCATTTTTAGAATCCTTACAAGGTTTAGACGAAAAAGTAAGCACATTGGTGAACGCAAAATAATATTTAGGAAGAAAAAAAGCACAATAAGGCTATTGAAATCTGACTAATCACAGTACTGAAAGGCGAATGTGTTAAGTTTCATTGGAGGTTTGAAACTTCGTGTTTCTAATAATTGCCTTTCAATTCCCTTTATAACATACTTTTAACAAACATTTCGTTTAGCAGATTTTTCTCAATGAGACATTTTTTTCCTGTAATGTCATTTGGTCGATTTCGATAGCGTTGTTTTTTTTTTCTCCCTCCAAATGTGTATACGTTTGTTTACATTTTTACTAAAGGCAGTCTTTACAAAACACTCTGAATCGTTTTGCAACTTTTCTTTTAGCAAAACAAAATTTTCTTCAAAATACTAAACTTTATGAAAGCAGATAGTTTATAGATTTTCCTTCGCTTCAGATTTTTGCAGTTTTCAGAGAAATCCGAAAACAAACCTACTACGTAATAGCGAAATCCTCACATGGTTCGAGAACTAAAAACTTTCAGTTGGGAGATGATAAAATGAAATTTATGCCTTACTATTTCAAGGTTTTGTCTTATCTTTCCAAAGCTGAAGACGCATCTAATAGGATTTGATGTTTTTCTTCACACCCAAATCCCTGATTTGTTAGTTTTTGTTTTAAAAGTGCGAAAATATGGATGAGGTTTATGTTTACGAAACTAATACTGAAAAAGAAAGGGGTGCTATGCTACTTACCTTTAATCATTATTTGCGCAGAAATATAATAAAATTGTTTACAATATTTTTTTTTATTTCTTACTGCCTTTTTTGGAAGTAATACATTAAAATTGTTTACTGCATAATTCGTCATTAGATTAATGTTTACTTACGTCTGTTATTAAAATATCTGCACAAGTTGTTCGGAGCTTGGCTGATTGTAGAACATACAAAAATAGTTTTATTTATATACACAGAGATGCCAACTTGCTCCGGACAGCGAATAAATATTTTCAAGTGGTAGTTCATTAATTGTGATTCTTGGTTTAATAAACTCTGTTTAGTTTTTATCCACCACTATTTCTAAACAATTCGTAGGCTTATATAATTCACCCCTTTTTTCAGATGTGTCATGATAAACCTTTTTAAAAAACTAGAAAAATCTGTCTAATATTTGCAAATTTAGTTTGTAGTTATTTACCGTTTGACCAGACGGGCAAGCCATGTAAAATTAGTGTGGGATACAATGTGTCAGGGCTCGAAAAAACTCAGAAATTTTACCCGTCCCCGAGGACGGCTTGTCCTTTAATGTACCTGTCCTCCTTTGAAACTAACCCGTAGCTTCTATATAAATAAAAATATAATTTTCTCTTATTTAATACTAACATTTATATAAATTGCACAATGAGTAAGTAGTTACTAGGATTACATTATACAGTAATAAAAGAAGTACTAGGTTACTGGTTACTAATAGTAAAAGCTAGTATTTTTTTAATAAAATAATTTATTTCCTTTATGAAATAATTTAAATGACGAAAGTCAAGTTATTTGGAATGTCAATTTATCCATGGGAACTGTGTTTTTTAAATGAATCAAATATGACGTTTGTCAGTTCCACAATCAAGCCAATGATTTACAGAGGTTTCTGCTCGGAAATCTGAAAAGGGTTTTCCATTTAGGTAGATGTTCATAATTGCGTTTAACGCTTCTTGTTTAAGACTAGTACGTAATGAGTTTTTCTTGTAAGTTCATTGCTGAAAAGCCCCTTTCAACAGCTGCAGTACTCCCATATAGAGAAAACATCAATTTCACCATGCGTAATATGTTGCTGTATTTCTAGATTAGAGGATCATTTTAGAAGTGAGGCGTTAGACTCTTGTAAGACAGCAAAAATTGAAAATGTATCACGAACATTAACGGGAAAATGGCCGTCCGCGCGGACGTCGGATTCGAAAAATTTGTTGTCAGCGGGGAATTTTTGACCGCCGAGGACGGGCGGATATGCAGTTTTTCGAGCCCTGCAATGTGTAAACCCACACGCAGTTTAGAAAATAGGCAAAATTAGGAGAAAGCATTCATTATTTTCCTTACCGACTACATGGAAAAACCAGTTATGCTATGTGGAGAAGATTGCAGATTAAAATACGACTTTTTACGTGCAGAACCGTCAGTGGGAAAATAGAACATATTGCTGTTTTGAATTACAAGTTCACTGCCATATACATTACCAGAAGAAAATTTAAAACATTATTAGAAGTATTTACGTTCCTCAGACATTTACCAAATATGTTATAATCAATTCGATTATTATTTTGTCAGCAGATGTTAACAAAACACAATCTCCAGAAGGCAGTTGATTAGCTAAAACTTATTTCAAACAACTTTCTGAAAAATTTTCAATTGCGTCAAACGGTTAACTAGTACATTATAAAAAAAGTTGAGAAATATTTCAATAACAGTCACACAAAATAAGCGAATGCGTTGCATGGACTGGAACTGATAACTTTTTTTTCATAATTTGGCCCTAAAGTTTGAGATCAGTACCTAAGTAGTTGAATCCAAATATGGGTATACAGATATATAATATAAATATATAAGTTAACACCTTCCCCCGAAGAGAGCTGGAGTTTTAATCTATAACTTACTGAAGGGATTTGGGAACTTGCACTTTTCTATATAGACAATACTATCATTTCTATCGTTCGTTCATTCGTTTATCATTTCGATGCATTTTCTTTATGCTGAACTAATAAAGCCTCAACCACGTCTTTACAACTAGTAAATGAGAAGTTATGAAAAACTTATGATTAATAAACTGTGTTTTTCTGTGTACTATTAGTACACTGCGTATTTTCCCACTATTGTGCAGACAAGTTTTACATATTATGAATATTTCAGGATTAATAAAATTAGATTGAACCAAGTAAAATTAAATCAACACGAATTTATTAACTTCAATTTTGACTTCCCCTTCAAAGAAAAAAAAAGAATTATTTTTTTTTCGGAAATAAAAAGAAATACCTATCTGACAGCTTTACATAAATAATATATCTTGAGAATTTCAAGAAAACCAATATGTCAAGCAATTGAGAAAAAAAAATTGCTCTTTTAAACAGATTTGCAGTTATTTACGTTATAATAAAGAAAACTGATATATTATTGGAAACATTTACGTTTTTAAACATTGACCAAATATGCTATCATAATTCAAAAATTATTCTGTCACTGGATGTTGGCAGAGGCAGAACTTAATCTCAAAAAGGCAGTTGATTGATTCAAGCATATTTTAAAGAACTTTCTAATAGATTAGCAGCTGTGTTCCATGATTAGCAAGGATATTGTAGAATGTGTTGATAGATATTTAATTAGCACTCACATATCAGTTGAGGCGAGTGTATTGCAGGGACTAGTTACGAACCTGAAACCTGTCGTCCCCCTTAAAAAAATACGTATTGCTAGGTTTCTTTAAACGTTACTACTATTCATTTTTTTACAGAAAAATGTGAATTTGTGCTGTTTTAATAACAAATCCATTGTTATATATAGAGGACAGCTCAAATATTATTCTTCGTACTTACGTTTCGAGACATTTTCCAACCATGCTATTAACAATTCGATAATTATTTTGTCACCAGATGTTAGCAGAACTCAATCTCACGAAAGCAGTTGATTGGTCCAAACACATTTCAAACAACTTTCTAACAGATTTGCAGCTGCGTTCCCATGATTAGCAAGCAGATTGTAAAAGGGGTTGAGAGGTGTTCGAATAACACCCACTTCTCTTTGCGCTTGGCAATCTAATTCATCATCGACGAAGAGGACTACTCATCTTAATTAGCATTTGCATTTGAAGCATCTGTGATGAACTCAATAAGATGAATTAATCTCTTGGATCAGATAGGAGAGAGATGCTGATTTCTCCATTATTTTACAATAAACTGGGTTTTGATGGAAAATTGGGCATCCTTCATCTGGGTGGAATTTTCGTTTATTATTTTAATCCAATGAACGATGATTGAAATTAGGTAGCGATATATTTTAGCTATGATATAGTGGAGTTTGCTTTTGTTTTTACCCATCTGAAAAATGGGTCTTGGTTTGAATTTGGTAGCGTGCACCCACTTTTCAACTGAGTTCAAGAGTAATAGTAAACAGTGCGCATACGTTGCTATTTCGACCGCTGCT